TTAATGGATTGAAGAAACTAATCCAGACAAAGAGCTATAAACTTGAAATTAATATAGGACAGATATGAATTAAATTAATTACAGACTGAATATAGATATTAAATATATATATATATATATATAAAATTGAAACAAATATTGGATAGGTATGGATAAAATCGTTAGTTGTTCTGCCTCAACTCACTCAAACTGGTCATACATCTTGTTAATATATTTTTCATTTTATTTGTAGTTTTACTTCAATTAACTCTTTCTAAAAAAAAAAAGCAAATTTTATTGTTTCAGAAAATAAATTTTATTCTCTTGTACTTAAATTGAATATAGATTTTTAAATAAATTCTGTAAAAAAAATATTGATTGTTTCTAAATCTATTATTGGTATAAAAAGTATGACCGAAAAAAAAAATTATGAATTCATTTCTCATAATATTTTTGCGTTAATTATGTTTAAATATTATATCAAATTATAGATATTTTAATTAATATTTATTATTTAATTAAGTTTAAATTATTTATCATATTATTTTATGTGTGCTTTCTACATAATATATATGAAAGTATTACGTGTAAATGTTATTATTAAGTTTATATTAAAATTTTAATGTTGATTTAAATGTTTCTTCGTGCTTTGCATTTTTTATATCAATTTATTCTATTTATTATATTAGTAAATATATAACACGTTTTTTGTTTAAATAGTTTTCTCAATACAATAAACAAGTAAAAAGATATATTAAAGGATTGAAATGATAAATTGGATAGTAGCATTTATGAAATATTATAAGCAAAAAATGAAGATTTGGTTCTTATATTATTGAAATTTATTCAAATCAATCTTTATCTCAAATTTTAGTCAAATTAATCCACATGCATTTGAAAAAAAAAATAATTTAGTCTCCTTCTTTAACTCACTATTAATGTTATTAAAATTGATATTACATATCATATCTAATTACTTATTGCACTTTCTGATTTACATATACGCAAATAGATATTGTATCAGATGTCACGTGACATTATATATTACGGAAAAAAAAATTAATCTAGATTAGTTTAATATTAAATAAATTAGAATACTCGAAATATTATAGGGATTTACTAATGAATATGAACACTATATTAGAATATGCAAAGAACTAAGCAAATAGAGGAGTTTAATGGACACCACAATGGTGGACTTTATATTGATATTCAAGAGATTTGATTGAGACAATGTAAGATGGAATGCAAAGTGGAGATGATAAGAATTGCTAAAAGACCTAACTAGTGCAAGCATGACACACGATATTAAGACAGTGAGAATATACAGATTGTGTTTGTTGTATTGATAAAAGATCTAACTAATGCAAGAATGACACATGATATTAAGACAATGGGAATAGATGGATATTAAGACAATGAGAATAGTTTTAATGGTTTATGTATATTTTTCCTTAGTAAAAATCTACTAATATCTACTTCATCAAACTTAGTATGTGTTATGACACTTTAGAAGCCAAACATCACTACAATGGGTAGATTTATGTATTGTCACTATGGAATAAAACACCAAGATGAACTTCATGGAGCTCGAAAATCTAGAAAACGTCATTTGGTTGCCCAACTGAAAGTAATGTTGAGTTTAATTAAATGACCATGAGCAAAATTACATGTTTTGACATTGA